TCCTCCCCGCCTCCTCCCCCTCCCCGCCCCTCCCCCTCTTAATTTCCTCATTGTCCTTTTCAAAGTCATACCACCGCCTGGGTTTTACACAATAAAGGTTCAGTTAACCTGGGAAGACCTGAACGCCTCCACGGGTGTGCAGGCAGGGCGCGTTGCTACGGGAAAGCCCACCTTTGACACTCTCAAGATGGCCGCTACGGCAAGCGAAAGGGAAGGGGAGGCGCCGCAAGTCACTATATAGCGCCGGTCTCATGAGGAACGGCAGGAACGGGGTGAAGGGAGTTGGGCGGAGTGTAATGCTCGCAGGATGGGCAGCGGTGCTGCTTTTCCGGGTAAGTGGCCGCCGCTCTAGTGGCACCGGAGAAGGAGACGTGCCTCCGGGGCCTAATTTGAACGAGACGGAATGACCGGTCGGAACGGGTGAGGAGGACTACGGCTCCCAGCATGCTCCGCGGAGCGTGGCAGTGGTTTCGGCGGCTTAGGTCGCCGCGTTGCATGACGGGGCTTGTGGTTTGGGAGAGAGTAGCCCCCTTGGCCCTTTCTACTACAACCTTCTCCAACTGGGCGCCCTCCTATACGCGCGTGCTGGTCGATGGGAGTTATAGTCCAGCCCACCAGGATGATAGCAAGGGCGAGAAATGACGACCCCCCCCCATTAATTGCAGATTGGGAACATGATATTTGTGCCCCTTACTGTTAGGAAGCCCCTCCCCAACCACCAGGGTTCCCCTCCCCCTCCTGAGGCGGTGACGCCTCTGACCATGGACAGAGTTCCTGGCCGCTGGGAGACCCAGATTCCTGGGTGTGTTTGAGGGAATGGAGCCTAAAAGCGACCCATATGCTTTTGGACTACAGTTCCCATCCTCTGGTGTGGACGGTGGGAATTGTTAGCTCGGGGCACCAAGCTGGGGAGCCTCTGCCAGAACGAATGATGATGGTGATGATGATGATAATAGCAAAGCTTAACCCTTTTGTATGCTTTATCTCTTATTTATATTTATTTGTTTGTTTATTAAATAAAAAATGATCTCCTATGCCTCTTTTAAAAAACTAGGAATAGTTCATTAGCGTAAGGGTGGACCAATAACAGTGAAAATGCTTTCCAAGCAATTATTTATAAATGGGCAACATGTTTCCTGCTTGGCAGACGATCTAGTTTCTGTTTACGGTATTTTTAAAAACAATTCCTATTTTTATTACTTAAATAAAAAGCAACAGAAAAAAAACAACAAAGAAAAAAGGGGAAAAGGAATAGAATAGATGCATATAAGTAGATACACAATGGTATAATCCCTAACTCATCTATGTTGTTATTTATCCTTTTTTAAAAAGATATTATTACTGTTGTAGAAGCTTTACAGTAGATGAGGGTTGAAGCCAGAATTCAGAAGATGAAATTTAATTTACTGATTAAGAAAAATAGCAAGAAACCTCTTTTGTTTAGTTCTTGTCTATTTTAAGCAGTCTCCCTCTTTTCTTTTTTCCCCCAACCACTAATTTTTATACCATGCTTTAAACTTCTACAATTATTACTCATTTCTGTTTAGATCGTTTTAATTATTTTCAAACATGTTCTCTTTTTCCTTCAAAAACCATATTCCAAGTGCCTGGCTGTGTGATATATAAGGGGGCCAGTTCTGCTTGAATTTGGTTGGACTTCTGTTTTGAATATCTTTTTGCTGGGCGGGTGAGGTATAAATCACATTAAAAAGGTAAACATTCACATCCAGGTAGAATGTCCTGCTTTTCAATATCTTAAAAGTGAAGATTGTAACCGGGATATGGGATTGCAATGTAAATTTAAATGTTTGGCATTAGCCACGGAGGTTTATGGATAAACAGTCCTGTTTTGGACATAAAGGGGGCATTGGCTCTTACGGTATCAGGTTGGTGTTATATTGGATTTGTAAAAGAATTGTTTCATGCAAGGAAGCATTTTTAAAAGGGGAGATTGTTTGCTGCCCCCCCAAATAGCAGCTTGTGGCCCCTGGCATTGGAGAATCACAAGAGTGTATCAGATTGATGGAATATATAATCTGGAAAAAGAGCATTACTGTGTACATACAAAGAGCCTGCTGGGGGGGCAGGAAGAAGGACTCATAGATAATGGCCATATGTTGATGTCCTTATGTTGATGAGTTGTTAGCACAGTGTTCCTCAACCTTGGCGACTTGAAGATGGGTGGACTTCAACTCCCAGAATTCCCCA